TTGGATGTCGTGAAAAGGAACAAGACTTTTCTGGGGAAATATGTCCTAGTCCTAGCCTATATGTTTCTAGATTCTTTATTGTTGAGCCCAGTGAAACAATTCCTGGGATTGTGACTGTGATGAATTAGATAATTAGTGATTGATTAATGATTAATGAATGATGTGGGTTGACTTTCATCGCTGTTTGGAACCTCTGAGTTGTGCTTGAAGACATCTCCCTGACTGGACCGCGGGATTTGATTTGTCTTTCTGCTTGCAGTTTTCTTGCAGTTTTCTTGCAGTTTCAAAACAATGTAAGTTTTTCTTGCAGTTTCTGCTTGCAGTTTTCTTGCAGTTTTTTTGCAAAAATAATTCCAGATAGAGGCTCTCAGACCCTGGCCCCATTGGGGGTCTTAAAGATATACCTTGTTATGAACAAATCACACCCTTTTGGCCACTCTTATGCTAGAAGAACATTCCGTTTTGATGGAGACATGAGTCGATCATGAAAGATGCTTCCGATGTCCGTCCGTATGTGTTGGTGGTCCTTGAACCTAGTTCTCCATGTTTCAAGAGCGTTTTCTTTCTCATGGATTTGCAAATGACGAAGGTTGCAACCAGTGGTACATGGTGTACTTAGCCAGCTAGCTACGTTCCACCTACTCTCAACAATCCACCTGATCATCTGTCTTACCTCTTTGTTCAATCCAACTTCCTCCGTTAATTCCAACTGAACTCTGAGGCTCGGAACACACTTCGATGATCAGAGGCGAATGCCCCCGCAGCCAAAGAGACAACTCTGGTATCCAAGACTGAAGCTTATCCTTTCGTTTCAACAAGTTCTTCCAACGTTTTGGGATGGCTCGAAAGGTGAACAACTCTTCATCGACTTCAATTACTTCAAGTTCGTTTCTAAATGAGACGCGTCGCGTTTCGTGAGCCTGCTCTCTTCACCTGAAGCCTCCGAAGATTCCATCTGGTTTCCATCTGACATGTTTGCACTAGAAACACGCGAGTATAGTACGGACCTTCCTCTTCACCTAAAGCCTCACAGTGTCACAGCGAAACTTCTTGTTTTCCAAAAACTCATGGTCATGCAACTGCAAACGGTGAAGTCCTCTCAGGATCCCCTCCTGAACTTTCTTCGGTTTTTACTGAGTGGTCCCTTCAAGAACCTTGGATAGAAACGTCACTGAAACCGCTTCCTCAACTCTGAAAGAGAGGCCGATTGCCGCGCAACTTAGGTCTACATGTGCTTTATCGCTGTCTTTTCAGCGAATCGAAATACAGTGGGCTCACAAGTTTTCTCAAATCACAATCAAAGAAAGAATCCACTCAACTCTCGAAACCAAGCAAGCGGGGCCTTTCTAAGTCCGTATAGAGGGCCTTCGAAAGATACAGAAAAATTCTCTTGCCCTGGGGGTCCAAACATGTGTTTGGAAGTTGAATCACCTGCCTTTCATTCGGGCTCAGGCCTGCGTAGAGGAAAGCTGTGGAAACGTCAAGTGTGTAGATGCGCATGGAGAACCATTCGCTCAAGCTCAAAACTAGTCTCAAAGACTCCAATGGGTGAATACAAGTGCTCTCGAAGTGAAGTCAAACCACTGCTCCGAAAATCTTTACATACCAAACGAGCTCTAACAAGCGTTTCGTTCTTCTGAACAAGGACCCAACGTGATGCAACAATCTTGAGGCCAGATCTCTGTGAAATCTGAATTGCTCCTTTCTCATCTACCCAATCTCCTACTTTCAAAGAGGGTGAAGCCAACTGTGAAAACTCCAGTCGCAGGCCCTCGCTCAACTGGTCCACATTCACTCCAGTGTTTTCGCACGTTTCGTTTCCACCAATGTATTGGAACAGTTTCTTTCCCATGCATTCGATCTCAATCCAAACGTTTCCGTTTGATGGCATCGAACCTTTCACCTTGTTTACCATTCTCAAAAACCTCTACAATAGACTTGATCATGGCATCTGTATACATGTTGTCTGAACTGGCTGGGAGACCAGGCGGTCCCGGTCTTTCCACTTCCGTGTTTCCTGAACCTCGAGGCGACCCCGGCTGAGATGTTGGCTGCGTTGCTACATCCGGGGACTCCACTCCAGACGGCGCAGATGGCAAAGACGGTGCAATTGGCAACGAAGGAGCTTAGTCCTACACCTGGATCCACCTTCTGCCTTTTTACTTCCGTTTCTGTCTGGTCTTCCTCTCGTTTCCTTTGTCGTTTCAGCCACTCTTGACACCTAGCCTTACAAACTTTTGAGTGAACCTTGCCATGAGCCTTACTTGTTTTCTTGATGCCTTCACATGCATAGCAACCTGGATAAGCCATGCTCAAGTACCCATTTCTTGGGTGGCCCAGAAGTGTTAGGGACCTCCATAGGAATAAACGTAGGGACACCTGGAGGCATCTCAATCGTTTCCTCTCCGTCATCTGGCGACACCAGCGGCTTCGGGCCCTGAACAACACTTCCCTCGGTCGAAGGAATACAAAGACGGCCGGCTTCAGCTAAGATTCCTAAGGACCCTCCTCCGTTTGAACAAGGCCCAACACTGGGGGAAGAGATTCAAGTTCTCTTGTTCGAGCACTCTCGGACGGCTTTCCGAAACACAGAACCCCAAAAGGAAAAGTCTTTTTGGACCCTTTGACACCTTCGGACCCCCTCGCATGCGTTCAAGTTCCGTGACTTGTGCACCAACTCTGATGTGATGTATGTTGTGCATGCGACACGCGTAGAGGCACAGGTGTTTCACAAGTTCACTCTCAAACGGAACACGTGATCCAATCTGTTGTTCAACGAAAAAGAGGTTAGCTCCCATCAACTCTTTGAACGACAAAATCCCTCGTTCAACAATACCGTTTTGTTGATGTCTACCTGGCGCCGTGGTCAAATAGTTGACTCCTACCACTGGTGTGTTCTCTTGACGCGCCGCAGCCCTCACTAACGTTAGCAAACTAAGTTCACCATCTGACATGACATCTAGTTGCTTTCCAGTCATCCCTACTTCTTTCCACATGCGGTTCACCATGCGAACATTGATGTCTGCTTCGATGACTCCTGCCATCATCACCCCAGTTGAGGCCACGACCAGTAGAAGAAACCTGACGGAACCTAAGAAACAGAAATCCATGCAGACCTGAGAGTTCCTGCGGGCTGACAAACGGCGAGAGCAGGTACACGTCCACTAGCTCGTGAATATGGAGCGCAACTCCTCAAGTATGGTGGATGGCCTTTAGCTACATGCTCGTACAAACCTGCGCTGCTCATTTCTGGCTCTGTCTCTTCTTCGTCCCTATACCTCTTCGTCAGCCCTCTCTGAGTCTCTCTCTGGTCTCTCTTCAACTAGATCTTCTCCTTCGTACTGGTTAGGTAGTGGAATATCTTCTTGCATCTCATCTTCACCAACCCAAATCTGAGATCCACGATGACGAACAGCTCTCAAAAGAAAATGCAACTGGCTTCCCTTTGAGGTCCCCGACACTGGATCGGCGAGCGATGCCGGATGTTTTTTTCGTTTCATATAGCATTTCAGAATACCTGGTTTCCTTGTTGCCTCCGACCTCTGAGAAAGATGATGCACAAAAACATCCCTTGAGTTGCATCGCCCTTGACTTGGTGATTCACAAGATCTAACACTCTGAAAGGAATCGGTCTCACTAGCTACTGTTTGTTCTGACCCATTTAGTGCGTGACTGCCCTCTGAGCTTCCAGACGTTGAGTCGAACATTCGACGAGCGGGCGATCGATCACGATTCACGATTGATCCATCTGACCTGAAGGACCTTGATGCCTCTTCTTCTACATTAGTTACCGACATGTCAACTGCCACAGGTGGTGTGTGCATGAACGGAGGTGAAGTCGCTTTGACAACGCTCTTAGCAACACTAACGTCCATCGCATCAGGGTCTGGACGCTTTGCTTCAACATTCCACACCGCCTGTGCCCACCAAGCGCGGTCACTCAACAAAAACGGAACACGAATTTCCTTGAGCACCAGTTCCGAAGAGCGCGACTCCGACTCCAAGCGAACACACCAACCACGCTTCACATGAACAACTGGTGACAACACGCAACAAGGATTTTCTGCAACAGTGCAACGTGACAAAACAAACGCTCGAGTGAACTTCCGACCTTGCTTGACCGTGGCGAATCTGACTTCGAGATCTACAATCCCAAAAGCTTCACTGATGTCACTAGAGGCTGACTTCAGTTCACACTTCAAATGCTGATACCTATTCAACACCTCGTAGTGATCCAGACTCGAACGTGCAATGATGTGGAATGTCGCTCTAGAGTCAACCAACCAGTCTGCATTCTCCAAATCATACAGCTTGTTACACTGCTCCTTTGGAGAAGTGTCTACTGTACACTTTTGTCCTACTCCTACCGGCGACACTGCACGACCATCTGCTCTAAAGAATGATCAACAAATCATCATAAACACTCGCTCTTCCTCGGGTTCTGACTGATGCTCACCATCAACACCAGCACTTCCAAGGTCCCCATCTGAAAATGCACGAGCTTGATTCTTATCAAGTTTGACCCTGCACTGACCCTTGGCATGTCCCTTCTTGCCACAACGCCAGCACAAAACACGTAACGAAGAGAAGGATCCAACAAACCAACCTTTTCAGCGATGAGCTGGATGTACTTGTGATTGCAAACTTGTGGTGAGGAATACGCTTGTGAACATGAAGAGTATGTATTTGCAATGGAAAGGGTACTTGGGTGGGTGGGAATGATATCAAACGCTTTGGTGGTATTTTGCGCCATCGGCTCATATCCTTTCTCTTAAGAATCGTGAACCCTAAACCCTAAGCCCTAACCCTTGATCAACCCTTAACCCCAACCAATTAGTACTAGGCTTGATCAACCCTAAACCCTAAACCCTAACCCTTGATCAACCCTTAACCCCAACCAATTAGTACTAGGCTTGATCAACCCTCGCAACCCTAAACCCTAAACCCTAACCCTTGATCAATCCTAACACCTTAAACCATTCATTCACTGTCCAAGCTTCCCATCTTCATCCTTCTCCTCGCGCAGCCGCGCACGGTGCCACTGGCGCCAGGCCGCGTTCTCGCGCCGCGCTGCCTCGATGGCCCCTTCGTCAGTCTCGCCCGCCATTTTGGCGCGGACGGTGTCGACGCGCCAGCTCTTGGCGATGCCTCGAGGGGATGGGTTTTTAGGGAGATCGTGGCACTGAAACCACCTGGTTCTTTTTTCATGAAACGAGCACTTTTTAATGTGTTTGATGAAACGAGCTTCAGGCAGTCTTACACTTAAGAGACCTTGATTGGATGGTTCATCTATATACGTTATATATATATATATATTCATCTTCAGACATCCTATCTGGATGGTCTTTGCCTGAGAATGAAACATCAGAGGCATCATGGATGGTTTCAGCCATGGTGGTTTTAGTACAAACATTCTGAAACATCCATTCTGATCCTGAAACTAGTCGTCTACACTTAGGGACCTTCACGCAGAATGGGTTTCAGAAATTTTCTCACACGATATCAATACACAATGGACTATACATGACTATACCTTACACTTTGGACATCTATAAATCTTCAATTGGACATCCTATCCTATCTGGATGGTCCAGGCCAAGAAACATAAAACGTGTGCTTTGCAAGCTCGTGAATGTGCCGCGGCGGGCGGCAAAAAGGTCCAGATCCCATGCTCAGGGACGATAACGACGAGGGTCGGAAGAGACCGCACATGGAACCTGAAAACCCGCTGGGGTTGTAGAGGATTTCATCGTCTTCCAGTCTGGTCTGTGTTCATCACGTTGCCCGGGTGCAACTCAAGATGTCTGCAGGTCCCACTTTACTCCATTTCACCTCGTTCTTTACTAGTAGCTAGAAGCTTACTAGGTGGAGGCCATCGCTCTTAGGGTGGAGGCCATTCCTATTAGGTTCCTTTTGCTACGAACGTTCCCTTTGCCCTCTTTTTCGGCCCAGCCGCCGGAATCCTCGTAGAGCCCCAGCAGCTGCCGCAGGCCCACCAGCGACGAGGGCGTCAGGGGCCGTTGCAGCAGCCAGCGGAAGTCCGTGAAGCTCAGCTCTCGCGCGCCGAAGTCGCTTTCCAAGCCATCCAAGTCCACCTTGGTCGTCCACCATTCGTCCGTGTTACGCTGCGCCCGGTCGTCCACCTACCGGTCGTGAAGTCGTCCGTGTTGACGCGTGACGTCCGACCGAGCACGAGGGAAGATCATGACGGACCTGGGGATGAGCTTCCATGCAGCAAGTGCACGAGCGTGTTCCTTTACGCCCCCAGCTCTTATGACAAGACCCTTACTCATTACAAGCTTGCGTGGGTTCATGGCATGGCTCAGATGTGCTTTCGTCGGTGTGTGTTGGTTCGTCGGATTACGGTAGGGCCACCGTCGGGCGCAGAAAGGATTGATGACAAAGGCGACTCGAAGCGGTGAAGAAGGCTTTATGAAGCCTAGTAATTGTACTATAAGTGGACTGAACTGATTGCATTTCAACCTCCCATATGCAGAGGATTGACAAACTTGTTCAATCCAAATGGGGTTTGCTAATATTTGTATATTAAATTAACATGATACCTGTTTCTGTTTCGAACGTGCATATTATGCATATTAGCTGGTGAGAACTAACAACTAACAAACATCTGAGGCTTCATCAAATCCCATGGAGAGCGGCCTGACATGGTGAGCCTGCCAAGTCTGCTGAAAAACACCGCGTCAACAAGAGCTGTGAGATATGTTTGGTTGAGAATAAAAAACTACAGTGTCTATAATTGTATAATATATACATTGATATACACAATTGTTCAATTTCTCCTCAAACAACTGGTCTGCAGGTGTTGCTACTGGCAGTCCAACAGCTTCAAATTGGAGGTCTGCGGCTGGGCTGTGTCTCGACCTGTCAGGTAGATACAACTGGTCAAAAATTTGACAAAACCTGTGGTCTTTGACCACGAGCTGGAGGCAGATCGATATGAATGAACGGATTCACCGAGCTATAGCTTGCACCTGAACATCTATCCAGAACCTGATCCTTCTTTTGGACTACGAACCATCCAAGGATCAGTCTTGAAAAACTGGCAGGTGAGGTTATTTGGCCCATGAATCCCCCAGCTTAAGAAGAGTCCCCATGCCCAGCTGCGACCATGCGGCTAGGCCGTCCAAGGCTTTGGACACCTGCTCCACCGTGACCTTGCCTTTCTTCTCCTGTGAGGAGAAGAAGCAGTTGGGCGGACCCGACTGTTCCCATTTTTGGGCCCGGCCCATATGCCCAGAACTCCAAAAGGACAAACATATTGGCCTTTTCATCAACAAAATGTCGTTATGGATGTAATTTCCCAGAGACTTGTTTGGGTGTGAGAAGGCAAACATTGGCGCGGTAGCGAGGTGAGAAAAGTGTAAAACTGTGTCTAAACTCTTTCCCTGTCCATGGATGTTGAGCACATGTTTGCAAGCCAACAGCATGTTCTTTGATTACGCCGCGTCTGAGAAACATGTATCCGGCAAAAACTTAGGCGTTTGAAAACCCAGGTGTGTGTGTATCATGCAGTATATATATACACTAAATTGACGTTTCCATTCCATGGTTTAAAAATGCTTAAAGGTTAAAGCAAACAGCCGTTTCATGTTATTTCCGCACTATTCCGGGGTCACGATCAACAAATCTGCCTCTTTTGTTCACAACCATCCAATTCTTCCCGGATGAATCCCCGTTGTCTGTCTTCCAACAAAGCCTTTGGTTGCCAAACATAAGGTCTAAGGCACAGCGTGGCATGACAAACCAAGTCGCTCCATCCCAGGTCGAAAAACCAAACAAACAGGTCCACTCTTCATAGAGGACACCAAGCCACATCCCATCCACAACGGAAGGCCAGGAGCTTTCGGTCGGTCGACAGGTCGACAGGTCGAGACCGACCGGGCCTTGTCCAGCCGTTCGAAGAGGGCTCGGAACTGCTCCTCTTCGGCACTCCTTGGAGCTGTGCAGAGCCAGCGGGCGAGGGGGGATGGGGTGGAGACTGGTACCGTCTTGGGAAGGAAGAAGGCCACGGATCGTTTCACTTTAGACATCTCAGTGAAGTGGTGTGGGTTTCAAACGTTGTGGACGTAACACGGGTCAAGGAAGTTATGGGAATTTGAGGATTTAAGGACTGACACTCCACCACCCATGAAGAAGCTCGAACACCTCAAAGTCCGTGCCTGGTGTGTCGACCTTAACATGTCATACCAACAAAGTCAGGCGCCTGACACCGTCACCGGTGGCGTTGGTGTCGACCTTCGTGGTTGAAACCATCGGTGGCGTTGGTGTCGGACGGTGAAAGAGACATGTTTCAGGGTCTAATGTAGACTCTTGATTAATAGACCCCCCCAATTGAACATCCTCTTCAAAGGGAGGGTCCAACTTCATCAAGAGTCTGATCTGAGGAGGATGAATGGTGTTTCAGTGGATGGTGTCAGAGTGGAAACGGCCTAATTTTCTCTGAGACGTCGGCAGACCCCAGACCCCACCCAGACCCCAGAAAGAAGACAAAAAACATCATGCAGGTCCAAGGCCAGTAGGAAAAACCACCAGTCTGACACTCCAGTCCACACATGCTCTCATCACCCATCTGCGAAAACCTGCTTCTGCTCTTTAAAAACCTGCTTCTCCGTCTGCGTGCGAGCTCACCTGCGTCGTCTGCGAGTTTCTTGCAGGTCCAAAGATTCGAATGATGATGAAAAAGGCAGGCGGCCAGGAAGGCGGAGTAGGAGATCTCCTGGAGGATCTCGTCTCGCTCGTCGAGCGGATCGGCGTGGCTTTCGGCACGGCGTGGTGAAAAAAGGGGGAACGGGGGACGTGGAGTTCCCGGATTGAAATCGAGTTCCGACTAATGGATCCAACTGGGTCTGTAGGTGGCAAATGGGCAAATAGGGCAAGTAGGTCACCCTAGCTACAAGTCGCCTGACTTAAGTCATCTACCCCTCAAGATTCTGGGTTCGATTCCCGAATGGTGATGTCTTTGCCAAAGATGGTCCTTGGCATTTGAGCCAGGAGTTCTGGGGGGGCTGCAACCTGTCCAACCCAAAACATGGAAACACCTGTGACCCAATAGGAAAGAAAAGCCCGATTAACGAAAAAAAGTCCAAACAGCTCAAAGGCGGGTTATATCTCCTGAGATCATCCATGGATGGTCTGGCTTTTTCGAACATGTTAAACACTCTTGGGTGCTTTGGTGTTTTGGTGCCAGTCATGATATCATCCATGTCACAGGTGGATGAGTTAGAGGATCTCTTCAATGTTGATGAACACCAGCTGGATCGTACCGTCTTCGGAGACCCAAATTTGTGCGGCTCGTGAAGCTCAAGGTGTTCCAAGTTCCAAGTACTCCCAATCTAGATGGTTTGCAGCAAATTCTGTGGCAGCCCTGGATTCCACGCATCACTGATCCTCATGAATCAACGGTCAACATGTGTTCAAAGTGACCTCTTTGGAGTCTCTAAGTGTTTTACTGGCCTAAGTGATCTCATCCTGGGATATCAAAAGGTCACTTTGAAGGTTCTGGTATATACATTATAGATATAGTCATATAGTATAGATTAGTATTCGTGCGTATGATCCAGCCCGTCACGGCAAATCAGTCAAATCAGTCAACAGGTGTCACATGAAATCGCTTGACCTTAGAATGTTGACTGTTAATATGTTGTTGATAACCAAACACATTTTGAGACAATGACATATATAATATATATATATAATAATGTATGTATGTATGTATGTATGTATGTAATGTAATGTAATGTAATGTCATGTAATGTAAGGTAAGGTAAGGTAATGTACTGTACTGTAATGTAATGTATGTATGTACAGTTATACAGTATATATTCCAGGTAAGGGAATGATATCAATCAACAACCAACATCTTCATGTTGTTTTCCTCCCTTGTACCAACTAGGTCCCTAGCTTCTACACATCAACACCAGCCATGCCATGAAATCAACTGACCCCCCCCGCCCTCCAAAAACAGTTATAAAAAAACACACACGCACCGCGCGCAGGACGCGAAGCGCAGTTCGCTTCCTGGTTGGTGCCCGCCGTCAGCTTCAAGACCTGCCGACCGCTGACACATACGGAGCGCAAAGTAACCACCGAAGCCATGTACGGAGCCCCTGCCGGTCACAAGAAGGCACAGCGCGGGAAGAAAAAGGCGACCTGATCATCGCTTAAGGATTTAACCAGTTATAGCCGATGTAACAAGTAAAGGACTATCTGACAGTCTTTTTAGTGTGCAAGAGCCAGCAGTGAACATTTCAAGACATATTTTCCTCACGTAGCCAACCAAGTGAGGTGTCTTCAAAGCGTGGCGGAGTGTGGGCCACACTATATTGATGGAACGCAGTCTGTCCATTCTTTCCCTGCAGAGTTGACTACACAAGCCACCTTACGCTATACCTCCCATGCATACCGCATTGACATCAACAAATTTCTGCATGTAAGGACGCTTGACCTGATTTCCATCTGACTTCCTTCCTGATACCCTCTTAGAAGGTGCTTGGAGACATTCCGTTGTAGGTTCTGAGGGTCCAGTCATACCTCATTATCAGGATCCCTCAGGTTTCACTTAGTTGTACACGGGCCAGCGATCTCTTCATATCGGGTGTGTTCTGTCATAGGGAGACCGTTCCGCCCCCCTGGAACCAGTCTACCCAGCCAGTGGCGATCTGGGGTCTCCCTTCTCTCCAATACACACCCACTTAATGTCATGTAGACTCGGTATGTCAACCCCGCAGGACTCAATAAGCTTATACAATCCATTTGGGGAGGTGATTGATCAAGATTCTCCAATTTGAATGAACTGGATCCCCATGTCAAAGTTCATCTCTATGGGTAACACACCCATTCTGGAGTTTGCCGAAGCCAACTCTTCTGGTGAAGGGTCCCAGTTTCGTGAAAGAAAGTAGATGCAAGAGACTTCTTCATGGCAAACAGCCTGGCAAGGACAAACAGGGACAAAGACCGGGTAAATTGAACGAGGAAAAGCCACATGCAAGAGCTTTGTGTGAAGCTATGGCAGAACTCACTCAGCAACATTTGGAAGCATGAGAACAGTCACATGAACCGATCACTGACCCTTATACCTACTCTTCCGCACGCATAGAAGCGAGCTGATCGACGACTGATTTGAGGTCTCGGATGGGCGCTGATGCATGCGCCCCGTGAATCTCACAAATCTAATTAAATTATATGTTTGATTCTATATATTTCTTAGTTTCTAATAGCTTCTTGTTCCTAGATGTTCCTAGTAGTAAGGCCAGGAGTCCCTAGTAGCGTCCTTGCTCCTAGTAGCGATGCCAGGAGCCCCTAGTAGCGTCCTTGCTCCTACCCCCCCCCTGGTAGCTCGTCTAGGCCAACACCTTGGGCCCCTCCAAACTACCTGTTCCACAGGAACACCACACCTGAGAATAAAAGATGGAACACCATGTTCCGAAATCTGCAATCAGCAAGCTTCACCAGTCAGCATGCTCCTTTTTGACGCTCTCTCCAGTCAGCATGCTTCACCACCCTGCTGGTCGCCGTGCTTCACCGCCCCGAGCCCCCACGCTTCGACGGATGTCTTCTCCTGCCTCGGCCACGTGCACGTCTTCACCGCTCTGCTGCGCCACTTTCTCCACCAAGTCTGAGACTTTGATCTGGCCTGCTTACTCTCCATGTGTTCGCTTACTCTCACGACCGATAAAATTGACTGCCCGATGGATGGTTGACCCCTTCTCCCTGGAACGAAACATGGAAGTGAAAGTGAAGTTCACCAGTTCACCCCTGTCCGTACAGGAAAAGTGGTCTTCCAATGGACCATTTGCGTCCATGCCTTCCACTTCCATGTTAGTTCCATGGAGTGTACTTACATGGATGGGGCGTTTTCCTGGGATTGGAAAACAGCTCGAGACTCGAGATTAACCAGGAGGAGTCTCGAATGGAAACAGGTGGGTGGGTGGAAATTGTGGTCCACGGTCCACCACTGGTGGATTCGGGCGGTTTATTTCTTTGAGGTTGAAACAAACAGGGATTGAGAAGATTCAACATATCTAACATATCTATACCTTCCAAAGTACCTTGGAAAATGGGGACATGACCTGAACAAAACGAACAAAAAAGAGGTATATACTTGTACCCGTTGTACCCGAGGTCCCTCGAGACTCCAGGCGTGACGCGGTCAAAACGCCGACCGTGATGGCGTTGGACTGTCCAAGCAAACCTTCTCGCCATCAGGTCAAACAAGTGAGACATGAGCATGAACATATCCATACACCCAAACTCTGAGGTGTGCTTAGTGACAAGGTGCGCTCATAATACAGATGTGGATCCCCTCTAATTATGTCTCCTCGTACCGAGACCGTTTTGGCACCAAAACTTGATGCATACCTTGGGTCTATCCCATTGCCAGAAACAGTGGATGACAATGGTTCAGTTGCAGGACTTTCTCCAAAATAGTGATAAGACCTTTACCGACTGTTACAGGTAATAGGACGAACCCAAGGTATATCCCGTTGGCCGGGCCCACGGATAGTGATAGTTAGGTTGCAGGCCTTGTTCAGAATTAGTGATAATTGTCGACTGACTGTTGCAGGCAATAGGACAAAGTCAATGTATATATATATATACCTCTTTGGTGAAAAGAAACCCGGCAACATTCCAAACACCCAACCTCCACGTCCACGCTTTCTTTGGTTCCATAGGTGGCTCATCCCTTTGCCTTTCCCAAACACTCCAATGATTCCATGTATGGAATACTATATGACTGCAGATTTGTGTGGTTTCAAGTGTCAATGTATCCATACATACTACACAATATACATGGAGTGTCAGGGTTGGGCTCATAGAAACCCTGAAACATCACCCGCACCTCGTGTTTACCGGTGGGCCGTGCCTGTACCATTTTCGTCCAAGGCCTCAAACTGATCAGCCCACTTACCTGACAGTGAATCTGGGCAGCCGCGAAAACAACCTATCACCCCGAAGACGATCTTCCACCTAAAAAAAAACGCCAAGCCGCCAAGGTTTTGGAACCAAACGTTGAAACTGTTTTCCACATGTTTCCACTGGTTGGTAGCCCCAACACCACATCCAGCCCACCATTCCAACCTTCTCTGGTCTCCACATCACCCCAGCGTCTTCGGAAGCAACGACCCGCTTCTTCGATCCGTCTTCGGCCCGCCGGACGTGGGAACCTCCACGGCGAAGACCGGACGGACCGTCGAACGCGGGTCCGCCGGACGGGTCCGGACGGACGGGTCCGCCGTCGCTTCCAACGTCGTCGGACCACGTTTGGTCCCAGGCGACGGACTTGTTCGACCGAGGCCATGGGCGCGATGGCCGAGAGCACGGCGCGCTTCACCTCCTCGGTCGAGTCGAGAAAGGGGCGTCGTCGAGTCCAACCGCGCTCTGTGCACCCGCGCGGATGCGGTTGGGCGTTGGGACTCCACCCGGGGTGAAAAGCCGAAAAACCTATATGGGTTTCGGTGGGATGTGGGTGGCTGGTGCGGGAGAAATCTTTGGTTGGAAACACTGTGGTTGGCTGGTGTGGTCTCGATGATGAGATTTGCACATCTTTGCACCGCTCGTTTTCTTTTTTTGAGACACCGACTCGCAACACGTGCCTGAACAAAATGGTGTTTGTTTTAAACAACTGACATAAACTTCGAAAATCATTCTATGGCAAAGACACCACAAAATGGAAGAACAATTTTGTTTCAAACAATATCATTGACATATTGTTAGCCGTATTTGATGACGTTTTCATCAACTGTCTCTCTACATCTACCTAACTTATATTTGCTGTATAATTCAAATTTTCAATAGCAATATCAAATGTTGTTGGAACATCAAACCAAATACATACGACCACCATAATAAATTATCATAAATTGCTATCTTTTCATGTGTACTTCTGTCTATACCTGCACAGGACACAGCAGAATAGAACAAACCCACACTCCAGAAGTTCCAAGGGTTGGGTTGAAGACCAAAAGTGGGTTGAACATGGGATCTTCCTACTCTCCAATAATTCGACCACACCTGCAGAACTGCTGCTAGATTCTGCTAGATCCTCCAGTCTTGTGATATCCGGGCTAGAAAAGAATGCCCTTCAGGATGTCATGTTGGCTAGAATAACCCTTCCTTTGACAGAAAAAAAGACGCACATTGATGCTCGGTACTCCCAGCTGGCATTTTAAGCACGCGCACTACCCTCCCCAGGGGTCATCCCAGAACTAAGATTTCGATCAATCTTACGAGTACCTTTCTCTAGAAATTCCAAGCAACCTGGGTCCTTCGGCCATGCTTCATTGCTGCGAGAGAAGGCTTTGAGTCCGTCCAAAATGCCACGGTCCAGCTCCACGCTAGGCGCGCCCTCGCTGGTCGCCAGCCAGGGATGTACCGTGGCCTCCTGGGCAAAACACCGAGTGCTTCCTCCGATCCGACACCGGTACACGGCCCTGGGATCCGACACGGCCGAGCCAAGATCGGATCTACCTGGACCCGGTTTGTGCCACTCATGTCACGGAATGTGTGGATGGTCCCTTGGACGACCATTTTTCCCCCACGAAGACTGTCCATGTTTTGTTCCAAAAAGAAAGCACTTTCTCCCCGACCCTGGCTGTTGCGGATGGGGCAGTGAAACGACAGGTTTGTCCAAAGTCTGTTGTGGCCTATTCTGCTGGAATACAAGTATCATCAAGTATCCTCTCTTTCAAAAAACTTTGGTTCGCTCACCCACATTGTTGCATGTGTTCAAAGAGAAGCTTTTCAGCAGGTGTTGACCTGCTTGGGTAAACCCCAAACAAGTCGACAGAACATGTCCTCTAGCACTTTTGCAAGCCAAGAAACCATCAAAACCCTCCATCCTGTGGCCACGTAAAGATACAGAACCAACATCTACCAACAAACTGTGAAGGACAACCAAGTGTCAGTCACCATCTCCCCGTGCGATTTTGCTCCAGATCTGCTCCTATCACTTGGGGCCTCTTTAGGGTCGGAAAAGCAACGTTTGACCAAGCCCAGCATTTCCTTCGTCTCCCTATTTCCACATACCTTCTGAGAAGGTGATTGGAGACACGCCGTTGTAGGTTTTGAGGGGTCCAGTCATACCTTCTCAGAAGCTATTTGCTTGTCATTGGCTATCCCGAATCCTTAATTGGAAGGGTACTGACTTGGATCCGTAGGTCTCCTCATGGCTTCGTCTCTAAACCCATTGGATCTTCCTCATAGCTTCGTCTCTCAACCCACACAATCGACAATCGAGTGACCCTCCCTCCCTCCCTCCCTCCCTCCCTCCTCCGCGGTCATGCGTTGTTGTGGATCCACCTGCAAGAGCCTCGGTTTTCTTTGTGGGGGTCTTTGGGGTCCATCGAGCGAGCATGGGTCCATCGGCGGCGTCCTGAGATGGACGAGGCCCGGGTTCTGAAACGAAGAAGATTCGGCGTGTCATTGTTTTGCGTTCTGAGTGGTGCAAATTGAATAGTAGGCAACAACAACGACAACAATAACCAAAACAACAACAGCAACAGCGATTAGTTCTGGGGGTGTGTATATAACCAACAATATGCACCAAAATAATCTATAACATATAATGCTCTGTTTCATGACAGTGTTCAATCCTACTATCACATCCAAAATCATTCAACATCCTATTACTATAAAGTCAAGACCTGAGAATAACCTGAACATGAACTCCATTCGCGCACCAAAACAATCCTCGTTGATCAGCAGTCGCCCGCAGAAGGTCACATTGCATCTCTTCGCGACGACAAAAGCTTGACAGTTTCAAGGTCTTACAGTAAAACAGCCAGTGCCCAAGTGGTGATTTATCAGCACCAACCCCAGACCATGGTTCACCTGGACCTTCCAATGGGGTGCCAAATGGAGATCCACAAGTTGCCCATAAATTAGTCTTTGGAGGCAGCCTGACGCCGAAAGCCCCCCCTACCCAAAGTCCCAGAACTTCCGAATCCGCAGTCCCACTTGATGATGCAAAGATCCTGATTTTGCCCAGTTCTTTTTGCGCCAGTCACCCAGCTTGCCGAAGACATCGAACACCGAAAAAACAAACAAACATAGTATTGATGGTGCCATCCCATCCCATCCCATCCCCTCAACCATGAAATCATCAAATGTTCATGAAAATATCAAGTATCAGTGAAATTGTTTATATACCTGGAAACTCATTTGAACTATCATTTCCGCCTGCATGTGACAACGGCTGGTTTTCCAAACTCTAGGTATGATGCCAAGACACTTGGAGATGAAGTCTTTCGCATTCGCCGAGACGTGCGCCCAGCGCTCTTCCGCAAAGCGATACTCTCCTCGCCAGATGACCGGGTGACCGGGTGCGCGGCTGCGGGTTCGGAAACGGAAGACTTCACCAAAGCAAACAGTACGAAGGCATCCAGTTCTGCGAAAGGGGTCTTTATACTGTTGCTTTCAACATGTGCGGAATGATGCAGAAAAAGTACTCAAAGCAGCGCAGAACATCAGGAGCCCAAAAGCAAATCATATGCCGACGTGCTACTCATAATCGAATCTATGTTTCTGACGATAACCTGATTCCAAGTGCCCTGTGCAAGTGCGGGTTGCCTTGCTCAAAACAGATCCGACCAATGTATCACCATACCAGGCACTGGCTGTTGAAGCGCGCTTGGCTGTTGCACTGTTTTTCACATCTTGCTCACGGCATCCTCCACATGTCGACGATGGCTTTGCCCTTCACGACCTCGCCGGGGAGAATCGAAAGCGTCTGGGGTCGTTTGATCCGTGGTGCAAACGGGCGCACGACGAGAAGCTCTGCTCTTAAGAATGCGGCGCCAACATGCCGTTGAAGCAAGTGTTGTCTAGCTCTTGGCGGTGGAATGAACAAGCCTCTGTTCATAGCAAACGCTGCCACCGCTTCCAGGACCTCGACAAAGGTGGATGCTGGTATTGGCAGTCATCCTCTCATGAAGTTGCGACACTTTCAAAGCTTTCTTGAACCTGTCCTGAAGGGCGCTGTTGGTGGACTTCAGTTCGTCCACAAGCTGCATGCCGGACATACTCGTTGGCATCCTGCACTCTGCAATATGAACTGACTGCCTGGCAAATGTGGCCGCCCTACGTCCTTGCCAGGTTTACCCATCAAGGCTTTGCCGCCTGGCAGGTCTTGACCGCGACGCGCAAATCACCCTCGTGGCGTTCGGATGACCAGTTTCAATCCAAATACCAAACCAGTGACCCAGTGCTTGTCCACTTCAATGATTTCAGGATGTGTATATGGACACATGTTTATTGTTATAAGCACCATCGCGACATTAAGCACATATAAAGCCAAGCATTGACACACAGCAAGGGCTGGTTTTAGTTGCCTCGAGTTGAATCATTGTAATTGTAGAGCGTGACCACTTCACACTGAGCTATCCTTCAAATCTGACCAAATCCACTCAAATTCAAGACCAACCTTTCCGACAAACATAAATGTTGGTTTATCAGCGCTGCATTGAAATGCGTACTTCTATGTTGTTCACATTTGCCTGCAGGGAGCATCACGTTTTTTGATTTTTAGGCAATGCGCGACATTTTTGGACAGGCCCCAACGTCATGTTTACAACGCTCCGACTTAGCTTGTTCCAACACAACTACCAAGAGGAATCGGACCATGGTGTTCCATCACCAGGGCCAGTACTTCACCCCGTGAATTGAACGCCTGTTCGTGTAAACGAAGTCGTTCGTTCAACCATCTGCTCGCGGTTTTCGCCGTCCTTGCAAAATGAGCCGATAGGTTTGCCGATCATTGCGACCCATGAACCTCGCGTGAATGGGGAGCGTCACGAGCGGAGCATCGTCCGGTGGTGGAGAGGTTGGAGAGGTGCGGAGAAGGGTGGTGGCATTGGGGAACAAGAAGTTCAAGTGAAAGGAGAAAAGGAATTATATATATATATATGGAAAACCATGGGAAAACAATAAGTGCTACACTCATCCCAAAACTTGAAAGCCCTCTGTGTGTGGCAGGGACCCAAACCTACACTACTTACTACTCTTGCACAAAGCCAGCAGGGGGCAAAGGGATCTCCAGTTGTGGCCTCTGCCAACGATGCTCCACAGTGGATGATCAGGGAAACGTACCTGCTGAGTGGGGCACCTGGGCGCTTTGTAAGTTGAAGCTGGTAACCACGTTTTCTTTTTAACTGCTGCACTATCTTCACACCTTTCTGACTCACTGCCTTACCGTTCCATCAGCCAAGGTCGTGCTAATTGCTCACCAAAATCCACCCTGAATATGACTCCTTGGAGCAACTTTCCCAAAGAGTGCAACACCTGTGATTGTCTGGCCTTGAGACTTAGTTTCAACTTAACTGCGATGTGGGACTTAGCTCCACCAGGACCTTCAGTTCGTGACCGAACTTGATATCCCAGGACGAGGTCACAAACAGGCCCGTAGAAGATCGTAAACAGACTCCAAAGAGGTCACTTTTGAAGGTCCGGGCAGAGGTTCATTAAATTGAGCTCCTCATTGGACATGATATCGATATTAAATCACCTGACCAGACCATCCTCCATGCTTCTTTTTTGCAAACCACCAACCAGGCACCAGTTGTACCCGTCCGACCCCGATGACGTCTTTGGTTTACTGCTAAAGGCACGGTGCTCGACCATCCAAGAGGATGTAGGTCAAGATGCCCAAGGACCACATATCGCAGCGCTCGGTGTAATTGCCTGGTGAAACGGTGGGGACGAAAGCGGCCAAACACCGAAAGCCCCGACTCCTGTCTCGATGTGTTGGGCCCTGAAACCATGTTTCCACGCCCACGAGCGCGATGAAAAGAACATGGAGATGAGTGAAGGTCTGAACATGAAGCTGACACTTCATGTATACATGGAGAGTATGGGCATGAAGCTGACCAAAAAATCCCTTCCTTCTTGCACGTCGAGAAATCGTTCTCTCTTTGCCGAGTGAAACTCGCTGTTCAGACCGAGAAATACGGTGAATTGGGGAAAAACAACAAAAAGCAAACAAACAAACATGTAAAACAATGCATGTTTTACCATGTAACAAAAAACATGTTTTTTACATGCAAAAAAACACAAACACGTCACAGGAAGGTACATGGACCAGTCACCTGATGTCGGGTCCTAGCTTCGTCCAGACCCGACCGGACTCTCATCATATTGGCCGATCAGGGTTTCTCGGTGTCAGGGGTCAATGGTATTCTTTCAGGGGCCCATGTCAATATGCCAAATATGTGTGCATATCTATAGTTATATATAAATTATATATATATATATGGAGTGTCTGGGTTTGCCAAGTCCCACCACAAGTCTACCTCTTGAGCTTCAGTAGACCAGCTCTATGGTGTTTTCAAGTCCGAAGACTGGCCCACATGGATGAGAAGAGCATCCGCACAGGTTCTTCAGTTTGAAGTCACTTGGGCCTGCAAAAGGGTCACTCAGAGACTCAACAAAAGGCTTATATACTGTATACGTTGAAGAAGCAGGCGATCCGATCTTGTTGAATGACTGCTCAACAAACAAACAACTTGGCTTGGAGGACCTACTCAACAACTGTTTTGGCATTCCTCTGCTACCACTCCGGAGCTTTCACCTGCTTTAAGTTTGTTGATGTTGAATATCACCTGAAAATGGATTGTCACATGTGGAAAAACCTATGTTGACTCATGTTAAATCGATCAACACAACAGCTGTGATATGCTTCGGTATGTGACAGCACGGATATCCTCCAGAATCTGGTCAAGATCCCAAGCCGCATCGCACATTGAATTCACTTCTTTTCAGCGCACTTCAACGTCTAAGCCCTCTCATGCGGAAAAAGATATAGGAACCACCACCAGCAGCCTTACTTGTGTCGATTGCAATAAAGTTGATGCTTTAAAGCTTCTCAATTCGAAGTAATTATAGTGGATTTAAACATAAACATTAAGATATATAGTAATTATATATAGTATAACTCCCAACCAAAAACCAACTTGTTCTGCATGCAGCATTTAAAAAGACGAGTTGAGACAAGTTGAGAAGATCAAGGCTCTCTAATCACATCTCAAACGACAGTTTGTTTAAGCCTCCTGAACAGCATCTTGTTGGCGGCCAATTAAACGGACGTCGAAGTGATACATCAACATAAAGTTTGGATCACAAGTTTCAACCAGGCAATCTTTTTAGCGACCTCTCGAGGTCCCAGTGTCCGTCTTTGGCTGTTGGATTGCAACCATAGAACTAAGGTCACTAGGACCTGAGAAGAAAAACAACACTACATGTGATGAACATACAGGATGGAACGCCAACAGCTTGGCCACTTCTGGGTTTAAAACAACAAAAAAACAACCAACCAACCCAACCCAACCCAACCCAAGCAAGCAAGCAAGCAAGCAAACAACACATCGCTGGGTCGTCTCAAACCACCAATCAACCTATACCAAGAAAGAAGTAAACACCCATCATCACCCATTCAATCACCCGCCGGAGCCCAACAAAAATCCGTGGATTCATCCACACCAGGCGGCTGAATCCAGAAATCCAAACTTCCAACGTCCGCCACTTTGGTCCGCCGCTTCGCTTTATCGCTGCTTAATCTGAGGTCCGCCGAAGGTCTTCTCGATGTTGCCCAGGGCCGTGTCCCAATTCACCTGGGACGTCCGTCGTGTCTCCGGGACTCCGTTCTCCGTGTCCCGTCATCGAGGTCGTCGACCACGGACCACGGACGACCGCACGTGAGAAACATCGGTCCTCGGGACTGGACGTTGGGACATACGAATCTGAGATGCCGAAGAATCATGGATATATATATATAATAGTTATTATGTATTAAATTACTATAAATACATATTTTGTTATATATATTATATATACGGGTTTTTTCTGTATCAACATTATCTGGCTGGTGTTGTACCACTTTGACGAAAAACGTTGGTCAAAAGGTGGTTTCTGTCAAATGTCAGTCTATAGATGGCCATCAAGACGTTCACACCTGCCACCTGCCTCCTTCAACTTGGGGCCTTTCTGTTGGCTTTCATGATCTATTCATGATCACCTGAAATCACCGTGTCTGCTAAGAATCTTCCCCTGGCAGCCAGGTGTTCCAGCAGTCCAATGAATAAAACGCAACGAGTATGTTCTAGTGGATCCATGGCACCTTTAAAGCACCTTATAGATGTTCCGATTTGCACGCGATCCAATATGAGATCAGACTGGCAACCGATCGGGGTGGTCGCCCGGATCGTGTTGGTAAATCCTCCCATTACCATGGCTCTATAGTGGATGATGATGATGATGATGATGATGATGATGATGATGATGATGATGATGATGATG